AGGCCAGGAGCCCCTAGCAGCGTCGTTGCTCCAAGTAGCGATGCCAGGAGCCCCTAGTAGCTTCTTGTTCCTAGTGGTAAGGCCAGGAGCCCCTAGTACAGTCCTTGCTCCTAGTAGCGATGCCAGGAGCCCCTAGTAGCTTCCCGTTCCTAGTGGTAAGGCCAGGAGCCCCTGGTAGCGTCCTTGCTCCTAGTAGCGATGCCAGGAGCCCCTAGTAGCTTGTTGTTCCTAGTAGTAAGGCCAGGAGCACCTAGTAGCGTCCTTGCTCCTAGTAGCGATGCCAGGAGCCCCTAGTAGCTTCTTGTTCCTAGTAGTAGGGCCGGGAGCCCCTAGTAGCGTCCTTGCTCCTAGTAGCGATGCCAGGAGCCCCTAGTAGCCAGGAGCCCTAGTAGCTTCTTGTTCCTAGTAGTAAGGCCAGGAGCCCCTAGTAGCGTCCTTGCTCCTAGTAGCGATGCCAGGAGCCCCTAGTAGCTTCTTGTTCCTAGTAGTAAGGCCAGGAGCCCTTAGTAACGTCCTTGCTCCGAGCCGCACAGCCCCAACATTGGTCAGATCAGGTCAAAGGGTTTGTTGGGTCAAAGTTTGGACGCTTGGCCTCTAGCCCAACAATCAACCTCTGTGAAATTTACGATATGTTTGGCATTCTATGAGCGTAAGTCTCCCCTTTTGTTGTGCTATTGTTATACAATCTTCTGTTTCTAGTAGCTTCTTGTTACTAGTATTACGGCCAGGAGCCCCTAGTAGCGTCCTTGCTCCTAGTAGCGATGCCTTTTGCTCCTAGTAGCGATGCCCTTTGCTCCTAGTAGCTTCTTGTTACTGAGGAATGATTTTGGTGGCGATTTTCACAGGAAGGTCGAACATGATCGATCTTCTCCCCATCAATTGACAGGGAAAGTGGCCGCTGGATTGCAGCCGAGTAGCAAAGGCCAAATAAGCCACACCCAACAAGAACAACACGAGAACCACCCATTTCTGCAAAGAGTATTTCCCGAAGGCACCTGCACCTCAAGCTTTGACGCAGCTGCGTTGACTTGCATGATGGTCCAATGGCACTGTGTGGGTTGTTCATTGTTCTCGTGACGACGCCATAATATTCACAATCGTAGTGAATAAAAAACAAACATCAACAAAAAACAATGAGACAGTGAAATGAACTGCGGAATCCAGTTTCTCCCACCAAAAACACAAAACAACAAAAGGTCATCATGGCAAGGGACGATCACTGACGAAAAGCTCGTCGTCCTGCGGCGGTCGGACGGAGGCTCTGCACCGAATGGAGCAACGCTGTTTCATCTGCTGTGATCAAACACGCCCAACCGCATCCTGCCATGCTGCTCAATGCTGTTCATGCACAGGATGAGTGCCGTGCTCCAACAAGAGCCATCAAGGGTTTTGACCCTCACTGACCCTCACACTGACCCTGAAGGAGGTTGATTTTCTTGGAATTCGGCAACCGTATGGTACTACTTGGGTGTACGTATGCCATTCAAAGGTTCCTCATTATCATTAAATGCTCAGATGTTCTTGATGTTCCTAAATTCTTAAATGTTCAGCAAACCTCATCAGGTTGTAGGCCATTGGTGTCGACATGTCCGACAACATGTCCTCTTCCTTTCGACTCTGTGGCCGCTTGGACTTGGCCGCGGGCACTTGACGCCCACGAGGTGCAGGAGGAGTCTTCTTGACAACCTGTGCCCGGGTTGGTCGATGAAATCATCATTGAAACTCACTCAATTGACTAATTCTCCATGCCATAAGTGAAAGAGCTTTTATAATCGGGTGTGTATGAATCAAGAGGCTACATATGGCTACATTACTGGCTACATTGTACTCCACTATCCACCATCCAATTCTGCCCATCATCCGATCGCATCAGCTCCAATGAGTTTCTCGTCCCTGTCCCTCTTATTGCTTGCAAGCTCCAATGTTTTTTCCAGGCGGTCGCGGTGGTCGCAGAATCGCATGTGGAAGCGATCCAACGCTGTACCATGCTGTGCCCAGATACATGTTTTCGGACGTTTCTCAGCTCCATTTCCCATGCCCCATCCTCCTGGCCTTCTTCTTTCGCTTCTTGGCATCAGACCTCGTCTCGAGGGGAGCTTCGTCCCGCGCATGCAAAACCTTGGCGTCTTCGCCCTCCAGATCCTCCGTCTCATCAGAGTCCTCATCTTCCACCTCCGGAGCCTCGAAGATCGCCCGATCCTCTCTGGCCCCCTCAGGGGGCGGGCGAAGCGACTGGATCGCTGCGACTGGAGCAGCATCTTTGAATTCAACATCCTTCTCTTGCTCCTTCTCCTCCTTCTCTTGCTCCTCCTCCTCCTTCTCTTGCTCCTCCTCCTCCTTCTCTTGCTCCTCCTCCTTCTCCTTCTCCACCTTCTCCTCTTTGTCCCCCTTCTCTTGCTCCTCCATGTCCGTATCATTCTGGTCATCTTCGCTGACATCCTAGCGAGGTCTTTCGGAACAAAAGGCATCATGTCTGGGTCGCGGGGGACACTCCATTGACCTTGTGGAGGGGGATCATGTGCATCGACCGCGTGTCGTGTGGTCTCACGAGTGGAACGGCTTCCGTTGACGTGGCCCCCATTCCATCCCATGACCCTCCACTCTCCACGTGAAGTTCTTGAGGAAAGCTTCTGGAAGCTTCTCAAAAACCTCGGGCTCTGATTGGTCCTCCTCCGTCTCCTTGCAAGCGCGGGCTCTGAATTGGAACGCCCTCATGGAGCCATCGATGAGTTACAACGATGCTGGCTCATGATTGAACCACTCAAACATACTCAAACCTTCTGCTGTAAAGAACTTCAAGCGGCAAATCATGCATGACCGGTTTTCTCCTTGTGAGAAGAAACGTGGTGTGGTCCACTGGCTGTGCTACCAGCTGATGAGGTTGCAGCTCTTGGACTTTGTGGCTGCCATTTTTCCCATAGGCTGGCCTCAACACAACATGACACATGACATCACCTCTCATGTGGCTGTTTTCTCCGTTGATCGCATCATGAAAAATGGTGAGCTGGTGTTCGCAAACCTTGAAGTGATCTATCCTTGAACCGGCCTGATTGGCCTACGACGTCTCTGTGTTCCTTCTGACGTGATAGGCCTATGTTGGGCACGTCTCTGTCACACGTTGCTACCGTTGCCGGATGACAGTGTGACACTTGTTTGGTCATCGGCGGATTCACGAGGCATGGCTTCTCTACGTTTTTCGACACCAGCAGCACAAACCAAGGGGCAAAACTGATTGAACCGAATGTAAAGCATCCTGGATGTTCTCAACATGGCGCAACACAACCAAACAACGCCAATCTGTCTTTCTTCAAGATTTGTTCCACGGCTTCAATATCTTCAATCTAGAAAAGAACATGTTTCGTTTCTGAATGACAAGTTGCCATCTCCAGATCTGTAAGTGCCCGTTCCAGGCCAGGTGGAGGTCGAAAACTGTCAGCACCCGCTGCTGAAGTTGAAGGGACGCCGTTCTGGTCGCTGATCACCTCAAAAGTCAGAGAAAACGTTGAATTCGAGCTGACGATGCCCACGTACTTAATCCAAGGAAGTTCAGTTTCGAGAAGCTCCTGTGTTCGGCGGTGAAACGAGTCTGTGGGGATTGGCGTCGCCAATCGGCCGGCGTCTGTGGCAGTCTGAAAAACTCGTCCAACAGGTGATGTTTTCATGGTGAACTGAGTTGGACTCAGTGGGCTGAGTTGGACTTAGTCGATGGGAGTCCAGCTTTCTCCCTCGAGACAGCGGCCAAGGCCAAAGAGCTAAGACTAGAGCGACTAGAGCTTGCAAAGAGACATTGAGACGTCTCGAAAGGTGCCACAGTCGGTCTTGGAGCAAGGCACCAAAGATGAGTGAATATGCGGCCAGTTCATAGCACTACACTGGGTTTCACAACACAAATCACCACGGTACAGGAGCTTCCTGCGCCCCCAAGCACTGCTGAACACTGCAAGATCACCCTATCCCCCGAACCTCCAGCCGCCACCGCCAGGAACGCCCCCCCACACGGCTCCCGTGCCGTCATGGGCGCAGCATCATTCAGCTTCCGGCCCCAACGGCGCCGAACATTCACGCTCTCCTCCTGGCCAACCTGAAGAAGAACGTCACTGGTGGCTCTGGGCGCAACCGAGAGCAACATCCAAATGGTGCGTTACACAACACATGTCACACATTTTTCGGGAGTAAAGAAACAAGCGGTCGACCAGGCTAACTAAGCAAGGTCAACCATGTTGCTTTTTCTCGCAACACGTTTGAAATAAGTGCAGGCTTGAAACCATTGGCAAAATTGGCTCCTCTTGCTTCCGAAGGTGAGCCGGGCCTTCTAGTCCTTGGATGCGAATGATCAAGCAAAAATTTTTGAAGGGATCCAGAAAGGGTCCTCTCTTCTGTGCTGGACCGTTTCGATAATATGGGCCAGAATATGGTGAGCAGCAGAGCCTGCAACAAGATGAAAGGAGATTTGCCATGATTTATATAGAATGACGATGCCTGCAGGGGCTTGTCTCAAGTCTGCGTGTCTGCATCCCAGGATCCTGGGGGCCATTCAAGTAGTTCTGGCAACTCGTCTTCAGGAGTCATGGCTTGCGAAGGACGCACCCCTCTATGGGGAAGACTCTGCAGGCCACTGGTCACACGGCCAAACGCCGGACCAATGAAAACACAACAGCAATTGAAAGAATCCGGTGCACGAAAGTGGGTCGAGCACGAAAGTGGACTTGATATTTAGACGATGGCTTGAGATAGATCTTTAGCCCACCGAGGCTTCGATGATCTCTAGACTCTAGACTCTAAACTGATCTTCAAAGATTGTCGAAGTTGGTAGCCTGTTCAATGCCCTGCGATCCAAGATGTGGCCACCATCCAAGGAGTCGCAGTTGAAAGAAAGCACCTCTTCAACTCCGGCGTTGCAACGGTTGGTTTTGATGGCCCACATCCCAAAGACCATCTCAAGAAGTTGTGAGAAGCAGCGTGATGAAATTCAATCAGGATGAACTGCTGAGGTTCCCTACGGGGACTCCCAAGTTCTTCTTCAAAGCAATGTACCTTGAAGATTCTGCAGTTGCTTCAACATCAAACCCAACTCAGAGCTTCGGTCAACGAGCTACATCAACATGCTCATGACTTCAAGTCTAGAGACTAGACTTAAGTGACTAGACAGATCAAGGCATGTCCGGGTCTGCAAACTACACCCCGAGGCAGTGTGAGAAATACGGACGATATTCGGCCTATTTGCATGATGTTGCCTCGAAAGCTGTCGGCCAGAATTCTTCAAACGTTCCACCAAACCAAGGTCTCACGCGTGGAGCACTCACTGCGTGCCACGCGTGTCGATGCCACGCGGTGCCGACCATCTGAGGATCTCTGAGGCCCTCGACAGCAGTGTTCCTGCGACCATCTTGGACACACGGAGGCGGAGAGCCTCATCGGTGCGTGACCCAGTCAGGCGCCACCCCTTCGACCCTTCGAGGCGACTCGAGTCGCCCTAAAAGCCCGATAAAGGGCTGATTCTGCCCAAATCTGATTGGAGATTTTTGGAGACTTGAATGCTCTATCTATGAAAAGTCTCCCAAGGTCTGGGAAGCGAGACTACCGCTTGCGACGAGCATCGTGCGTCACTGAGCATCGTGCCGGCGGATCTTGGAAGTCTGTATACCTTGACGACTTGACTCGATTCAAAGTATACCGTACCATGTTGAAATGATCCTGGTACATTGATCCTGGAAGTCTGTATGCCATTGATGTTCAGTACCTTGACGTCAGTTGAATGACCATCCCAAAATGCCGCCAGCCATGGTTTGTTTGATGTGCTGCTGTGTGGATGCATCACTTCACGGGCATTCCGATGCTTGGGTGATGTATCGACCAAAGACACGCCCCTCCTCGAAGAACGAAGCTGGTACGGAACATCGACCCGTCGACCAGTCTACCCAGCCGACACCACTCGAAGCCCCTCAAGGCCGAACGTAGCGTCCGATCGCTCCGGACTCGTAGCGATGCCGCCCCTAGCAGTAGCGTCCGATCGCTCCCCAAAATGCCCCACATGCCAAAACACATGACCATTCGCTGCCCTAAGGATCATTGGACCCTCCTATGGAGGGTGTTGACCCTGCATAGCAGGATATAGCAGGGGTTTGGACCCTCAAAACCTTCACCTTTGAGGGTCCTTGATCCTTAGGGTGCAGCTTCTGGCCAAGTCGCACCACCTCATCACCTGGCCAAGTCGCAGTGAACGACGCTTCAGTCTGAGTTTGACACGGACGACCGGCGGATCAAACCTCTCGGAAACAATGCCAGGACCCCCGAAACAATGTCAGGCTCAAAAGCTTTCATGGCTGCCCTTTCATGGCCAACACCCCTTTCGTCAACAAAGCCAACTTCATTACTCAACCAAAGCCCAACACAGCCAACACATCAAGCAAATATGAAACTCACTCATCACGCCCGTCTCTTTTTCCAAGACCCCAGTGCACCAGTCCAGATTCGCAACAAAATGCGCTACACGCACGGCACCGCCCCATGGCTAGGCACAAACCGTTTCAAACCCCACCGTTCCAGCCCTACCAAACACCATGCGGTTCCACGGCGCTCAGTCGTCCACCTCCGGAAGGCCTAAGCGGTCCTCAGGGCCCTCAGCGGCCACAGCTCCTCCCAAGATGCCAGCAGAGTCCTTCTCCATCATGATGCAAAACTCATCGAAACTGATCTCGCCGTTGGAATCAAGGTCGACATCTGCAACCATCCTCGAAGACTGAAGACTGTTTCGACTGAAGATCTACCTGTTTATTTTGACGGACAAAGGTGCCGATTGTCTCAAACACTTGGATTTGAGAAAATTTGAAGCTACAAGGTCAGGTTGGCTGATGATGATGATGATGATGATAGAAAGCGAAGCTCCAACCTGTGTGCGCAGGCACCATCTGGATTCCAAGTCTCACAGTCGCCCGAGCCAGCTAGCTTGCTTGGTTCGAAGTCCCCCGCAACCATGCCTCCGACTTCGATATAATAATTGAAAGCTAGGTGGCATTTCCACATAGGCCATGTTATCTTCCTCCTTCAAAATGCGCGCGAGCTCATCCTTCGTGATCACGCCATCTCCGTTGGTGTCGAACACCCGGAAGGCGGCCCACATCACTTCACGCCTGTGTCGGAAGCGGTCGTCATCCCACACGCCCGAAACGATGCGGTCATGTGTGTGTAACCCTTGGAGTCACAGGGAACCCTCGGGTTTGGAGCAGGGGGGCTGGTTGTTCATGCAAGTACCAGCCCAACGAAGAGGCTTGCATTGAACACTGATATCGGTGGGGACGCCCACCGACGTACCTGCTTCAATTTTTAAGTTTCCGCAATGCATTCTGCAGACTTGCACGTTCCGCCGTCACTCTGTCGTCTCGACCTCGACTTGCGATTTTGGCCCCACTTCCTTTTGAAGACCCCCAGGCTCCGGTGGTTCTTACTTGTACTCTTGGGAAATGGTACCCTAGGCCGGCGTGTGGCACCGCTGTCAGTTCCGTACGCATATCTATATAAGTGTGTCTCTCCTAGCGAGAGCCCGGGGTGAGCCCGTCGAACGGGCGTTAGTCCTCGTCCCTGCGCCCGGGACCAGAGCAGCTCGCAGCGAGCGTAGGTGGCCTAGGCCGAGAGGACTCAGATTTTGATCAATATGGGGATTCCAAGTTGGCTCATGCCTCTACGTGACCGCAGCGGTCAAAGGTGGCAGCCTTCGGGCAAGCCGTACGTGGTCGCAGCGACCAAAGCTTGTTCAAGGTTCAATTGGAACCTGTCGAGAACTTAGCCCCACTTCCTCCCCCTTCCCACCCCTCCCTTCCTTCTTTGCCTTCTGGGGTTTTCCTGAATGGAATACTCAGGGTCACCCCTCTCTCACTGGTGTGTCCCTGGACGTTTGTTTGTAGCTGGGAACACCTGCCTTTTTCCTTCCTCTTTTCTCCCTCTCTCTCTCTCTCTTTCTCTCTTTCTTTCCTCTCTTCACCCTCCTTCTTCCTTGGGTGTCCGTGGATGCTTTCGTCATAGCTGGGAGTCCTTCCTTTTTGGTGTGTCCTTGGACGCTTGTGTCGTAGCTGGGCGCACCTTTGCTTCCTTCTTTCTCTTCTTTTCTTTTCTTCCTCCCCCTCTCCCCTCTCCCCTCGCGCGCGGCATGTTTACAAGCAAACTCGGCTTCTGCAACAGGTTTCTCAATGAGGTTTGGACTGTCATCGGTTTGTCCCCTTTCATCGGCCCCCACAGACGTCTTCCCTTCTTGTCTTTCATGTCCTTCCGTCTTCATGCCTCTTCATCCTCATCCTTTCTTTCTCTTGCGCGCACTTTCGTCCGGGCCTTAGTTTGTACACATACACGCACGCGTATTCTACTTACAACGAGGTTCAGGTGGCCAGGTTTGATACAATGAGGTTTGGTTCATCGGTTGTCCCTCTTCACTTGGTTCTTCTTCATCGGCAACCACACACACACACTTTTCGTCTGTCTCGTCTCTTTCATTTTCAGCTGTCTCTTTTGCGCGCACATTTGCTTTGCCTCCTTTCCAGGCCGGATGGAGGCCACACATGCCTCCCTTCGGGGAGGCGTGTGTGTGTAACCCTTGGAATCACAGGACCCCTCAGGTTTGGAGCAGAGGGGCTGGTTGTTCATGCAAGTACCGGCCCAACGAAAAGGCTTGCATTGAACACTGATATGCTGGGGACGCTCAACGACGTACCTGCTTCAATGTATAAGTTTCCGCAATGCATTCTGCAGACTTGCACGTTCCGCCGTCACTCTGTCGTCTCGACCTTGACTTGCGATTTTGGCCCCACTTCCGTTTGAAGACCCCCAGGCTCCGGTGGTTCTTATTTGTACTCTTAGGAAATGGTACCCTAGGCAGGCCGGCGTGTGGCACCGCTGTCAGTTCCGTATGCATATCTATAAGTCTATAGGTGTGTCTCTCCTAGCGAGAGCCCGGGATGAGCCGCAGAATGCCTCCCGTGGACCCGTCGAATGGGTGTTAGTCCTCGTCCCTGCGCCCGGGACCAGAGCAGCTCGCAGCGAGCGTAGGTGGCCTAGGCCGAGAGGACTCAGATTTTGTTCAAAATGGGAATTCCAAGTTGGCTCATGCCTCTACGTGACCGCAGCGGTCAAAGGTGGCAGCCTTCGGGCAAGCCGTACGTTGTCGCAGCGACCAAAGCTTGTTCAAGGTTCAATTGGAACCTGTCGAGAACTTAGCCCCCCTTCCTTCTTTGCCTTCTGGGGTTTTCCTGAATGGAATACTCAGGGTCACCCCTCTCTCTCACTGGTGTGTCCCTGGGCGTTTGTTCGTAGCTGGGAACACCTGCCTTTTTCCTTCCTCTTTTCTCCCTCTCTCTCCGTCTCTCTTTCTCTCTTTCTTTCCTCTCTTCACCTTCCTTCTTCCTTGGGTGTCCCTGGATGCTTTCGTCATAGCTGGGAGCCCTTCCTTTTTGGTGTGTCCTTGGACGCTTGTGTCGTAGCTGGGCGCACCTTTGCTTCCTTCTTTCTCTTCTTTTCTTTTCTTCCTCCCCCTCCCCCCTCTCCCCTCGCGCGCGGCATGTTTACAAGCAAACTAGGCTTCTGCAACAGGTTTCTCAATGAGGTTTGGACTGTCATCGGTTTGTCCCCTTTCATCGGCCCCCACAGACGTCTTCCCTTCTTGTCTTTCATGTCCTTCCGTCTTCATGCCTCTTCATCCTCATCCTTTCTTTCTCTTGCGCGCACTTTCGTCCGGGCCTTAGTTTGTACACATACACGCACGCGTATTCTACTTACAACGAGGCTTAGGTGGCCAGGTTTGTTACAATGAGGTTTGGTTCATCGGTTGTCCCTCTTCACTTGGTTCTTCTTCATCGGCAACCACACACATACTTTTCGTCTGTCTCGTCTCTTTCATTTTCAGCTGTCTCTTTTGCGTGCACGTGTGCCTTGCCTCCTTTCCGGGCAGGATGGAGGCCACACATGCCTCCCTTCGGGGAGGCGTGTGTGTGTAACCCTTGGAGTCACAGGGAACCCTCGGGTTTGGAGCAGGGGGGCTGGTTGTTCATGCAAGTACCAGCCCAACGAAGAGGCTTGCATTGAACACTGATATCGGTGGGGACGCTCACCGACGTATCTACTTCAATTTTTAAGTTTCCGCAATGCATTCTGCAGACTTGCACGTTCCGCCGTCACTCTGTCGTCTCGACCTCGACTTGCGATTTTGGCCCCACTTCCTTTTGAAGACCCCCAGGCTCCGGTGGTTCTTATTTGTACTCTTAGGAAATGGTACCCTAGGCAGGCCGGCGTGTGGCACCGCTGTCAGTTCCGTATGCATATCTATAAGTGTGTGTCACATGTGTGTGTGTGTGTGTGTGTGTCACATGAGTCATCAATGCCATGTCGCTCACACCCGACAGAAAGAGAGACCCTTCATCCACGAGAGACTTTCGTCAAACTGAGGACTGCTCAGTCCTCCGAAAAGGACTATTGTCCATGGGGGCCCATGTCTGGGAATGCTTGCAACTCTGTCCAGTTGAACACTTTGCCTCCAATCTTTTGGACATGAGATCCCCATGAAAAACACAATATATATATATATATAGCCGTTATATAACCCATTTGCTCAAAGACCGGACCTGTATGCCCTGAATCCGAATCAATGCCAGCCATCCACACAAGCCGCTATATTAAAATCATTTAAAATCAAACACCATCTGCGTCGTGCAACCTTATCCCATAAGGAAAGACACTCAGCTCATTCATGTCATACTCACTGATATAATTATTCATGGAAGTGAAACATGTCTCCTGGTGGTTTTCCCACCCCGCCTCAGGTATTGCTTCTTGGTGAGCGTCGCGGCCATGAACTCGGTATAGTCGATGTTCCCACTGCCGTCGGTGTCCAAGTTCTGCACCTCAACAGGGTTCACTCCAGGACCAGGTCCACCGAACCCGCGCGCGTTGGCGCGCGCGCGCGCGCGCCGCGGGACAAAGGGTGCGGTGTCTGGGAACAACCATGGGGCACTGAGGTGCCAGGTGCCCAGTGAAGGTTTCTCCCCCAGAAAAGCGCGGGACATCTGCCGAAGAAGTCCAAACAATGCTTAGCATAGCGCACATCTCACTTTTTGGGAACCAAAACAGGGCGGGGAGAACTGGCAAAAAGAAATTGATTTCAGGCAGTGCTGTAGCTGACGATTTGAACGATGTCGTCGGGCAAGTCTGCTTTGGCCATCTTCAAGCCGGTCTGAATCTCTTCCAAGCTCCTCGGGTTGATGTCTGGTGCCCGATTCTTGAACCCCAAACCCCCAATTGATACAGTAGTGGCACGGTTTCCAAAAGATGTTGAGCGGGGATCTGCTTTTCTATCTTTTTGGTGGTTTATACATTCTTGCACAGTTTGATGTGTGTCACGTAATGATCGACCCAAAAATTTGCGGAATCGCGGAGGACTTGTTTCCATCTGTTCGATCATGTCCGAGGCTCAAGGTTCCATCTCGGTTCTTGTCCAGTTGTATGAAGGTATCTCGGAGCTCTTTAAGGTCATCGTCTTTCAGCTGCTGCGCGATCAGTGTCAACGCCACCTGATGAGGACAGCTGGCTGGTCTACTTCGTCTGTAAAACACATGGGACAACAGGTCCGCGTCAGGAGAGGTCATGGGCGGTACCTGTGTGTGTGTGTCTGTGTGTGTGTCTGTGTGTGTGTGTCTGTGTGTGTGCCTCGTGTTGCCTTGTCTCTTAAAGGAACCAGGTAACTGACTGGTAGCTACTGCATGGCAACTTGGTAACTATAGGCCACTGTCCTCAATTCCGGCCTTCTTCATCCTGGAGTTACTCTGAAATCGCTTGAGCTTGTGGCCCAAGTCTTTGGCCACTCGACCGACCACAGCAGTGGCCGATGCAGTCAGCCACTTGTGTGTCAGAAGGTCTCCAGCGCTGGGCCTCAGTCGAGACGTTCCGAGCCCCGCTTTGGGAAATAGACCAGAGCCATCCAAAACCCAGTGGGGAGGGTCTCCATCTGCATCTAAATGCATACACGTTGCACACACAGTTGCACAACTCTTGGCCAGTGGAACAAGTGCAGAACTGTCGTTTTACAGGAAGCCTTCATAAGCCTTCTCAGAAGGGCCACCGACAAGGGCCCTTGTCGGTTTACCGATGGAAAACCTATAAAGAACCGACATCAGAATCGAGGTGTGTCTAACCTGCGAAGAACCGACCTCGAGTCGAACCTGCCTGGTCTTGGGATCATAGGTGAGCATCAGCTTGATGAAATCGATGGCATCGCTGCTCACATCGGACCAGTCGGCGGGATCGAACTTCACGGCGCCTTTCTTCACCATGGCGAGGATATCTTTGTCCTTCTCACCGTAGAAGGGCGGATAGCCACAAAGCAAAATGTAGCAAATCACGCCACAGCTCCAAATGTCACCTCAGCAACCCGCGTCGGTGGATCCAAATGCGGCCAGTGGATCGACCCGGACGCCCGACCCCGTTCTTCTCACGGTTCATGCCCGAAATCCAAACGATCACGCCCATGAGGTGGTAACAAGGGCCTTGTTCGGTGATTGCTTTCGGGTGACACTTCTCATCGTAGGCCCCTGCCAGCACCTGTGGTGCTACGTAGTAAGGTGTCCCCGCACGGGTCTTCATGCTGGCACCCGAGCCCGGGACATAGTTCTTGGCAAGTCCAAAGTCGATCACCTCGCAGAAGGTTTTTGGACCTTCTAAACCATGACACAGCTCGTGAAGGCCCCGTGCCATGTGCGATGGCCCCCACTGAAAAATGGCACGCTGAATAATTCATCACAGCAGGCAAAAAACCTTCCCTCATCTTCCCTCATCTAAATTGAATACCATTGAATACAGCTTCCCTCATTGGCCTAATGTCTGCACAGCACAACTGCGCAGCAAAACCATGCAAAACCACCCTGCTGGTCTTCGCAGCTTGCCTTGATCTCAGCATTAGCCTCCTTGTTTTGCATAAGGAAGTTCTCAGGCTTGATATCCTTAACACATTGAATCACAATGAATCCCTCCACTGCCTACAGCGGAGACTCATTCAACTGCCACTGTGACATGCAACCTGGGAATGAGTTTAGCTACTCGAAGACCAGTCTTCAAACTAATTGCATCATATTGCATCCAATCATGCAAAGGCGATTCATGCATGTTATGTCAATCTTCACGAAAAAAGATAACAGGTACTCTACAACATTTTGGTGTCATTGTGGTAGCAATTATATAAAGTTTTTGAATAAATGATGCACACGAATGCGCATTTCATGCCGGAAATGGTTGTGGGATGCTGTAGGGATTCTGTGCATTGGGAGGCATGTACGTTCACGTCCAAGACGATATCATTCCGGGGACCACGACCTGCTCAAGCTTGTGAAGGGAGCATGTCTAGCCCCGCCTCTGTCACACCCTCCCTCACCCTCATCCTCATCCTCAACCCACTAGCGATGGCATCCAACCTACTAGTGATGGCCTCTCAAACAAAAGAATCAAACCAAAATAGCGTCCGATCGCTCCGTTCGTAGCGGTGCCCTTTGTTCCGTTTGTCGCAAACCTTGCTAGTAGTAAGGCCAGGAGCCCCGTTCGAAACTCACGAACTGACGCGTCCAAGTCTCCCGATGGACGAAATTGTTCTTGTGAAGATAGCTCATGGCTCCTAGGATCTGTTGCATGTAGGTGGCCGCCCCACGCTCGTCGAAGGCTCGTGCCCCGTCGTGCTTCTCAGACTCGGCCACCTGAAGTTTCCGACGCGTCAATTGGGGACAGCGGCGGCTCGGAAGGACCACTGGGCCATGCATTTGGGGCTTGATTGGGCCCAGAATCATTCAGAGTGCATGTTCAGAATGGTCACATATGGTCACACGCGAGCTCCAGAAGATTTCAGTAAGCTTGTGGAAATGCAGTGACTGGCAGTGACTCTGGACACCATTGGCTTCCCCAAACCGATCGAACCCCAAACCCAGAAACCCAAAACATGAACCGAATCGGTGTCCTTTGCAACACCAGGACATGCCAGGATGCAATCCGTTCGAAGAGCTCACCGCCGGTGCAGAGCTCCATGACGAGGTAGAAGCGCTTCGCATCTTGAAACACCTCCCGGCCACGCCGCGTGTTCGGCCACGTGCATGTTTGTGATACATCTACAAGCACCCCAGCACCACCCAGGAGGTTCCTGATTGCATGGACAATATATGAAAATACCTCTTAGGGGGGTCTTTAAACCAATTCTTGCGTGGGTGCTGGTCTATGCCGTAGTATTCCCTCCCCTCCCCCTGATCCAAGAGCTCGGTCGAGCTCGGTCGAGCGCACCGGTGAGGTGAGCGCCGCGGTGAGGTTCGCGCCTCGTAAAGCTTCACGATATTCGGGTGGTCCAGGGACGATTGAATATCCACCTGATCGCTTTTTTTGCGCGGACGGATCGTTCGGTGATCCTTCGGTGCCGGCCAAAGACGGATGTTCTGGGGCGATCACATGGCGATCAGTCGAGAACAAGGGGAGCAGTTTCGACTCAAGTGTGGCTCTCTTCTTTTTCATGTTTCCTCAAGGTTGATGCTTCAATTCAAAGACACCTCAGTCCAAACACATATAATATGCCAAAATGACTTCACTAACTGAAATAAAACCTTCCACTGAACCTTAATAGTTCTACAAACTTGCGATCCAAAAAGGCTTCGCAACCGCTTTCATGACCTTTCCCAGCCTCCACTTGAAATCGAGCAGGATCAGAGATTTTGTGTCTGTTGATGGCCTTGATTGCCCGAACAGCACCTGTGTCCTTATGTGTCCCCTTGGTCACTTGGCCGTAGGAACCTTCACCTGCAAGTGAGAGCACACGATCACAGCATGGCCCGTATACACATCATGCTGATAGCTTCATTGAAACCATTTGAAACCCAGCAGCTCAGTCACAGATTTTCTCAACACCACGTCTCCATGTTTGCATAGTGTTAGTGTTAGTGTGCTGTGTTTCGGCATCTGCGGCATACTCCGACGCCCCTTGGCCCACGGAAAAGCACAACGGCTGCCCCCACGGAAAAGCACAACGGCTGCCTAGTGGTTTCTTGTCCACGCTGTAGATTTCATCTAACTTCCCCGGGTTTTCCGCGCAAAACGTGTGGGAGAAGGTGGTGGTGGTGGCTGAGACCAACTTGGGCGCCATGGCGGTCGACCGGCGCTTCCGGGTTCACGACACGAATGAAGGTTGATCACTGATACTGAGGGGTCGGACTCGGTCTTGATCATGTCCTGTGCTCTGTTGGCTCGGGCTGTGCTCGCTTGGTGTGGCAGGGAATTCCCTCAACTGACAGGCCCCTGCTGATCTTCCTGGGCGAGCCAGGCTGCGGGGCTAGATGCGGCGTACGGCGCGACCGGTCGTGGCAGGCTGCCTGGAATCCGGTCGTGCAAAGACATGAAAATCAGACCTAACGTGTTGTGGCACAAGGCCGGCACGCTCTGCCAACAAGCAGTTTCGTGAGGCCTTGTGCAGCAGCCATTGGCTCTGCCTCTGGTGATTCCTCCTCCTGAATGGACAAATTCAGCTGAGAAGACTTGACTGTCTGAACTGACACCACTAGCCGTGCCTGTTGCGCCGTGCTGGGCAAGAGCTCCAAGACATGTTGCAAGATTCGCAAGGCTCGATGGGCGTGTAGCTTCTGCGCCTGGGTGCCGAGTGCGACTTAACAAGGTGCCATGGGAACAAAAAACACAAATTACAGTGGTTTCAGAGTAATTAGATGGCACAAACCCCAAAAGGTTATATTTATATGAGGCATATAGAGGCCCATCTAAAAGACATCTTCTAAAAAACCTCGTGGGGGCGCCAGAAAGCCCTAAAAATGCCCTAAAACGTAAAAAGGTGCCCTATCTTAGGCGCCAGGGAGTCCACATCATCGAAGCTGTCAGACATGCGTCTCTAGACGTCTCTGGCGCTTGAAGGCCACACGTCCCACATCCGGTCTCGGAGGGCCGGTCCTCACAGGCTTCCTTGAGCATCAGGTAAATGATGGGCCTCGGATGTGAATTCTGAGCCGAGGCCGTGAGCAGTTTCAGTTGACTTTCAGCTGAAGCAGCTGAAATGGGCCTTTCAAACGAAATCTTTTCTCTTTCCCCAAGTGTAGTAACAAAATCTCTCCGTCGCATCAGCATGAAGTGAAGGAATCCACAGCAAAATCAGGGCGATTCAAGCTTGAGGCGTAACACCAATCCCACAGCAGCACCGATGGCGCCAAATTGATAAGGCTCCCCAAAAAATGCCCAAACCCACTTCCCTTCACTCAACCCGGTTGCCAAGCAGCTGGGACATCCTCACCAACAGCTGCTTTCCAGGTACCCGGGAGCTTAACACGACATGCTGTAGCCAGCCTCAGCAAACCCTCAGGATACGTCTAGTTGTAGTGTCCCCGCCTGGTCTGCTGATACAGCATATTAAGCTGTTGCTTGCTTCATGGCTATATGTTTCATTTCTCCAGGCTGTTTCCACATTGTTTCCACATTCGTCATTTGGTTGAGCTATGTCCCATTTTAGGGAGTGGCTGCTGCCGGGGAGTTGGCAATTGCGCCCACCGTTTTCAAGATTGGACATCTCCTGCTTCAAACTGGCCGACGAAGTCTTGAGGTGAAGACGACCAACGGGATGAGATGTAGATGTCGGTCTTGCAGCGGAAGACGTTTCTCACGAGCCTTCTCAGACTAAACAAGCTCGTCATGTCCGATGATTGGGGCCCGAAACGTGCATCACCCGACCCAGCCGCTGTGACCCACGAGGCTTCCCACGCAGTCCAGCCGCACAGCCCAGCCGTGTTCGCTGCAAACGCATCTGGGATCAATGGGTGATCATCGGTGTGTGGAAATGCAGGGATCTCTTATGTGTTACGACTATTGCGTATATTTCAAGAAGTGGGAATGGCTTCCAGACTGGCAAGCCAGCGCATCCCACACTTATGCACATGGCACATTGTCACATTGACATCAGAGTGTTCCCTTCACATGCGGTGACGTCCAGCACTTTCCTGCTGCTCTGTGGCTCCCCACCATGCCGGCCACTTGTCGAAGCCAGGAAGCTTGAGGATGGTGAGCGACCACATAGCAGGACTGGTCGGTCCACATCGGGTGCTACAAGTGGATCAACTTCAAACTGGGGAATGCATTTTTCATACCAGGACCCTCCTGTCGGGGTGTCCAATGGACTACCCCACACTACCATCCTAGGCTTCCAAACAGGGCACCCCGACAGGAGGGTCCTGGTAGAGGGACCCCACTAGGGACCTCTTTCTCGCCCTGGCTGGGTCCACCCCCACGACCTCGGACGGTTCCGGGTGTCGGGGAGACCGCTGTCTGTGTCGGTTTCCACCCATCAATAATGGACACATGATGTTCATTGATGCTCGATGTTCAATGTGAGACACAGAATTGTTCGAAAAAAAAGGATTGCAGTGGCTCTCTCTCTCTCTGGGCATCTTAGGGGCATACCTTGCTCACTGCCCAGATGTTCCAGTGAGGTCACGAGCACATCTACATAGCATCAGCATGAATGATGCCTCTTGATCCACTGTGTGGGTCCCTTTTTGTCAAAGATCAAAGACATTGACTCGATCCAAGAACACCGCTATATTTGGCAAGGAGCCCGAACGTAGCGTCCGATCGCTCCAATCACCTGGCCCAAAGCTCGATCTCCACCGAAGGTAAGGCCTCCAACTCCGCTGTGGTCACCTGGACGGCCTCACGATCCCACGAAACAACTGCAGGCAGTGGACGTTGGCTGTGCAATGCTTTCACCATGACCAGGGGTCAGGGAATGGCGACCTCATGGACGTTGTCATGGCGACCTCATATGAAATCCGAAAAGCACGGACCAGCGGGAAGACATCCATCCTGACATCTAGGATGCCGGGCCTCTTCAGCATCTAGCCGGGCTTTGGTATTCTTGGCATCTAGGATGCCTGGGCTGGGCGCCATGGCAGAACATTTGACCACATCACAAAACTGCCTCCCAAAAACACAAGGCTGTGGGTCAAAACATGTCAACACCAGGATACTGACTGGTTGACCTACCTGGAAGGTCATTCGCCGGGTTCCAAGTTTTCATCCATCTCCATAACAGAAGAACATCAATCAACCTCGACTGCAAACTTCACAACGTATTACGGCCTGGGCCGGTCAGTCTCCTTGTCAGCCGGTTTAGCTCTCTCTCCCTCCCTCCTTCCCCCTCTCTGTCAGTAGTCAGTCTGTGCATGTTTTGCCCTCACTGCCAACGTACACGAAACAAGACACGGAACATGTCACACCGGGCACCAATGGATTTTTTAGGACGTGAAAGAAGGCTCACGACGTCTCTTTCCTGTCATATTGCGGTTCCTTCGCTCAAACGTCTCAGTTGGCAGCTAACAACCTGGTAGATCTGACGAGCTATGTCGGGTAGATCTCTCCGTCCACAGCCCTGAGATCCCAATCCATCGTGGCAGGACAATGCCAGCACCCGGGCCTGAGCAACAGGTTTTCACGGCTTTTGGGAGCACGACTGGGCATCAAACAGAGCCGAACCGCAGCGTGGGCCTTCTTCTCTACGTCTCCGGCTCCGACACGCGCCGTTTCGCGGCGGCGAAAGGCTCCCTGACATAGGCGTGGCGCTCCGGCTCCGAAAGCTCCGCCAGTTGTGCATCGAAGGGGTCGACCTGATCCCGGACGACCACGGGGAGAACCGAGAACCGGGAGAACCTCGGCGGGAGAACCTCGGCGGAAGCCTTTTTACAGTAACAAGCCCAAGTTACTAAGCCTTAAAAACAAGCCTCGGTAAACAAATGGCTCGAAGACAGTTAAATGACTCGAAAACAACCTATGAATCCGCATCTCCTTATGGCTCTCTCGTATACGTTGTTTGGTTTTTGTGTTCGTTCGCAGCACTTCGATGCGAATTTCAGGTTGTTTCACCACAGGCACGGCCCAGCATAGTCATCTCTGCTGCCCACACGCCCCTTGGCCCGGAACGAAACGGGTCAACAGCGCCTCGAAGAAGACAGGACCTCGAGGCGAAGACGGCAGAGTTGGGTGCATCGGATGGGATCCTTCTTCAGCAACCGGGGCCTAAACCGGGTTGGTCAACCTGACCTGCCGTGGCAGTCCACCGTCCACCGTCTCCCGGGTGCATGATATGATGAAGGAGCTGGAGAGTTGGATGGTACAATCGCCCTGAGGCGCCCTGGTTCTTGCGGACCTTCTCAAGATATAACATGATATAACACTTATCAGTAACAGCGGATGATGATGGTTACTTTGCAGGCCGACATCTCTATAGAACTATATAGTGATTTGCTAGTGAAACCCGACTGTTACAGGTAAGAACGGACAAGCCCAACGTATAACCATTTAGCACCGAAGAAAGACCTGGACTCTCCTCCAAGTGGCTTCTCAATGATTCCAAGATTCCCCGCACGCCTGTGGGCAAGGGCAAGGCGAAGTGGCGGCGAAGCCCGGACCGAGGGATGGGTGAATTGCACCAAACCCACTCTGGACCAACACCCCTTTTTCCGGCAACCGGAAAGTATGCGAGAGAGTGCCGAATTGTGTGGCACAGCAATTCGAACATCAAGACACACGAACGATGCCTTCAAGGAATGCGCAACAAATGCAAATTCAAAAGCAAATGAACTGACGCCTTTTGTTGGATCGGGGAGCTCACCTGGAAGGCACCCACAAGCACACAGCGAGGCAAAGATTCCAGTGTGCGTCTTCGATACAAAGGCTCAAAGCAGTGAAGAGTGCTCACACTCCCTGGACTAATTAATCATGAAGTGGAATCGGACTGCGACCTGGTAGCCATGGCCTCCAAATGAATAGCAAAAGGAACCTAATATAGGAATGGCCTCCACCCTATTAGCGGTGGCCTCCAACCTAATAGCGATGGCTTCGGCCTCCAACCTAATAGCGATGGCCTCCAACCTAGTAACCTAGTAGCGATGGCCTCCAACTAGCGATGGTCTTTTCTTCCTTTCCGGACTAATCATGATCCTTTCGTAACGATTGTATGCAAAACGGTGTGCGTGGGTGCGCATGCTCAGTTCCACGTGCAGCTCAGAACTTCTCCGGCATATATGGGCATCTATGAGCTATGGGTACCCATTTTATCGCAGGGGTGCCAATGTACCGCTCAACGATTGCCCGTCCTCCAGCTTCACTCTCACCACGCTGCAACTCACTTGGATTCGGCATGCCCCAAATACTCGCAGTCCTGTCATGTTACTTCGGAGACTTCATGTTGCTACCCCGCACTACCCAACCTAGCTCACAAGGCGCTCTCCGGCGAACGCAGCGATCACGTTTTTACACAGTTAATCCCCCGCAATGTCAATTCACTAATGTAGCCATCTGCAGTCGCATAGCCCTCACCTGCATTCAAATGCTCTGCAATCAGGTGCTCTCAGCTAAACAGTCCTCTCAGTCACAGTCTTCTCCTGACCCGCCTGCCAAGACATGGTATGTTTGCTTCATGATGACCAAGTAAGTGGATCGTGCGAAAGCCAGTTGCAGCTTTAGACCTCCTGCCGAGTCATTTGGATGTACTGTCAAGCAAAAGCTCTTCAGCTCGCGCGTCGCGCGCCTGTGGGTTGGACATCCATGATGCTCGATCTTGATCAGAGGCCGCCTTCAGACTCAGTTCTAATGATTCTAATGTTGCGATTCAAGGGCCCCCCCCTGAATCCGATTGAGCAAATGACCATGCATCCAAGCATCTGCCAACTTGAAGCAACCATTTGAGACTCAACTTGCCCTGTGTGTTTCGCGTCCACCCCCCAAGAGAATGTCTCAGCTAGCAATCGGGGTAGCAGTCGAGCTGTGTCTAGAGAAACCCTCTGTGAATCTGAACTCCAAACTCACACCTTGTCATACAGAATCCAACACATCTAAATAAACTTTGCATATGATTGATTCATTATATAATATATGATTTTCAAATAGTAATATGATATGATAAAATCAGTGTACACTGGGACTCGGACCATGTCAATGTTGTCGTTTGTACCAAAAGGACTTCACTATAAACCGACAGTTTCTGTCACCATAGCTGAAGGAGGGTCTATGAAGATCAAGCAACCTGAAAAACTACCTGTGACACATCCCGACACCATAATTAGAAGGGGCACGTCAAGTGTCAAAAACAACCACACGGAAAGTAAAGGGTCATGATTAATAATGATCAATTCGAAGTTCCGACTGGGTGGCCATTCACCGATTGCACGAATTCTAGGTCAACCGACCCCAGACTCAAACCTCCTCAACTGCCACAACGAATTCTACGTCTACGTATGTCAGGTTGTTGCCAACCAAAGAATACACAAACAACTACACCTGGGAAAATTAACATGGAACCTGAAAATGGACCTTTGGAATACTATTTTCCTCTACAACCCAGTGGTTGTCAGGTTCCATGTTAATTTTCCCGGGTGTATCCCGTCTCGTCCGATTTCCTAGCCTCGCTTTGACTTTGGTCCTCTCCCGCTTCACCTTCCACCTGTCAACGGCCGTCAGGTACGCCGTGGTTGCACAGGAGCTCATAAATATCGGACACGGATGCATTTTTGGATGCAAAACCTTCCAGCCAGTTAGGATTCGCCTTTGGCACTCAGATCAACCCACTTGGCCATTCCATGGCACCAGCCGTGCCCCTGACACAAATTGTATTTCTTGCTTTCTGATGAGACTGGTCCCTCCGACATCCTCCAACACTGCTGGAAGTCTATTCAGCTCTCTGTTTCCAGGCCATTGTTCGATCAAAGTCGCAAACTTGTTTGCGAGTGGAGTTCGGTTCGAATAATCTTAAGAGTTTTTTGCAGTAACTGAATTATTCCTTTGAGCAAGTCTTGTGCTTGATTCTTCGCATGTCCCTATGTTTAACATCTGTTGTGGTGCCAACTCCAATTCAAAGACCTTATCCAAACAGCAAAGCTCTTGGACCAACACTGATCCAATAAAAAGAAGGTACACATTGGCCTGATTTTCCAGCTATCCACCTACAGTGCCCGAGACCCACCTCTTTCCCTTTGAGCACTGTCTGTGGAGCAGTCTGCGGGTGCTTCTTCTCCGCCTACACGGAACATATTCAAAGCATTCAGCAGCCGCCGTACAATCGATGAACAGTCGCGTGAAAACTCATTGAGCTCGGAGCCCCGTTCGTAGCGAAGCTTGTTACTAGTAGCGTTCTTCCTCCGTTCGTAGTACGGCCAGGAGCCCCGAACGTCGCGTCCGATCGCTCCGTTCGTAGCGATGCCAGGAGCCCCTAGTAGCTTCTTGCTCCTATATTGTGTGTTGTCTGACTGAGTATAGTTACTATTCCATCCATCCACTCATGCTGGTAGTTTTGGTTTTCGTGCTTGTGGGCATCTATGCTGTCACGCATCCCTGCAAAACAGCACGTCTGCCCAACCTCGGTTTGTTCAGCGGCCATCTCTGCTGAGGGCGTTGCTGCGGAGCGAGCCTCTCCTCCACCGTCACATGTGGCGGAGCATATTCCATGCAACTCAAAGAGTGTAAGCTCGAAAAACAGGCCTCTATCCTTTGGTCTTCTTGGATAGAACGTCCCAGATCCCCAAATGACAGAACTCCACTGGGGCAAAAATCTCGATGACGCGCCTGCCCAACTGTCGGCTTCCGAGGCGACCTGAGCAACTCCACTATAATCATTTAGTTATCAACACCGTTCTCCAATTATGCATTCTGATCTCCAATCTGCCTTCTTTAATTCTTTTGCAGCATAGGACCTCTCCCTCGCGTCTAAGACCTCTAACTTCCTCTAAATCTGGTGGTAACTTCCTCTGTGATGGGTCACCTTCGTCACCATGCTGAGTCATAGGAGACGCTGTGAGCCCTTTCGTCCGTCACCGATATGCTAAGTCGCTATGGCCTCTTCGCGAAACCATGGGCCGAAAAAACGGTGCCTGCGAAAGCACCCCATGAGCTAGATTCAGGCTAAGTTCACATATTGGCAGCCTGATGACTCCTTGGAAACGGCAAGTGCCTGACCCCCCCTCCGTCCCCCACCGTCCCTCGCCCCGTTGAACCTCCCCGGCCTCGGTCGCGGAACCGTCGCTCCCCGGCGAGCGCTCGCGGGACCGCGCGGTGGACCGCGCGGTCGCCCGCGCGGTCGCCCGCGCGGTCCGCGACCGGTCCACCTGGTGGGATCCGAAGCTCCAAAACGGACCGAGCTTAGGACCTACTCTAGGAGCTCGATATAGGGCATAGTATGGCATAGTTCTGTAAGATGAGTTCTTATAATATACAACTAAAGTTACTAAAGTGAAGATCAATTTTAAAGGAATGTAGATCTTGCAGTCATCTCCTTCATTGTGCCAGGATTTGTTCTAACAACTTGAAGAACGTGTCTTTGCATGGACTCCCCGGACCGGGAGGACAGGTCCGAAAGGCCAGGCGCCTTAGCGACGTTCGGGCTCTTCTTGTGACTAGTAATGCCAGGAGATGCCAGGAGCTATAGATACGTTCGTAGCGATGCCATTGTTACGTTCGTAGCTTCTTGCATGCCGATGGGTTGCCCCCGAGAGAATCCACGTTCGTAGCTTTTGCGACTGGCGTCTGGCGCTGGTTGTGAGGGCAACGTTTGAAGGACGACCAGCACAACCAGCACACATCTTCCAAGAATCAAACAACATCAAACAACCAAACATCGGTATACATTTCCGGGAGAACCTTCGCCACGGTTGGGGCATTGTTACAGAACACTGCTGGTTCGTACCACACCTACCGGACAGCAACCGAACTGAATCCCAATGATTCCCAATAGTGATCAAAAGTCAGGAACTCGTTGCAGCTGCTTACCTTTCTTGCGTCCATGTCTACGTGACTGTCTACGTGTTGCCACCCCGTTTTTCGTTTCCTTGCCGATGGACACAGCTGGGGACGGTTCAGCACCAAACGGTGTGTGTGTGTGCAATATATGTACCACAAGGATGTCTTCAGGCATCGCCTGTGTGCTGCGGCCATTCCCTTCCTCCTGTGCAGGTGCCTGCCAGGTGCACGTCGTCGCAAAAGAAGAATCCATCAGGTCCCAGGGGCCACCGGGGCCAGGAATCCTCGTGTTATGGTGTCTGGTGCCTATTTTTGCATGGCAACCGCAAAGTGCGGTGAACATGCTTGGTGCAGCTCTGCACAACAATATGAGTGTCTTTGGGCGACGATTTCCGATACTTGAACTTTAATTATCTCTTTAATCATTCAACTTACTCACTCATTCCGTCCGCCTTCGGCGCCCGCGGAGCTTTGTCCATCTTCTTGCTTTTCGACTCAGGCTCCTGCAAAACATCTTTGAACCAAGAAGCAAGGTGTGATAAACAAAAGTGGTTCGGGAAGTGGTGCCGGGAGCTGTGCCTGGAGGAACGTGGGCGCTGTGCCGAGTACGCAACGTGACAGTTGTGCGAACTCTTGGGCGGCACTGGTCGTTGGAGGAAAACGACCAGTGTGACCCCCTTACAACCCAAAAACGTCTCTTTCAGCAGAGTCTCATTGTTGACCTGGTGCTGAAGAATGGCCAGGGGATGCCAGAAACATGTTTCAAAGACCCAGCCCACAGGTGTGTTGGTTCCAATTCTTCCAATGTGTCATCCATGTGCGTCACTGGTGGCATCGTGGAAAGGGCAACATGTCCGCCTTGCAGTCGACCAGGTCTTCAATCAAGCGATGCAGTTTCACCACCTTGGCAACATGGTGACTTGATTATCGACTTGAAACACCATGGGTCATGCTAATAACAAAAATTGAGGAACACAAAGGGCAATAGGCTCTTGAAGGCTCTCAAACATACGTCCAAACACATCTTGAACCGGAGCCACTTGCTTCAGAGCACAAAGTGCTCAAGATGGATCGCATATGATGAGCAAGATCCGAACTGCAGTCTACACTCCGACTCACTAACATGGAACAAAGAAAATGTCTTCCAAGGGGCCATATTCCACTTCCATGTTAGTTGTTAGTGAGCCAAAGTGTTGTCATTCATGATGGTCCCTAACTGCCCTAACTGTCGCTCGCCCCATGCAAGCATTTAACGCCGGTTCGCGGTACCCAGTCCCCAGGCATCAGTAGCCACAAAGCGAGGAGAGCTGCCAAAGCGGCACCTGGGCTAATTGGTGGCAACAGCTGATCAATCCTCATTCTTCCTGGGATTCGGGTGTGCTTCAAACGGCCAAGATGGGCCAAATGCCCCACTGATCGGGATTTGATGCGAATCGAGTCCCCGTGGCCTTTCTGGGCGGAGCTGAGCAGGTGCGGTCGTTTTCCACAAGGCCAAGGTCGCCAAGGTTGCCACGCCCGGCTACACGCAGGGGTACTCAGGATCGAACATGGAGTGCAGAAGCGCGGAAAGGTCGGGATATTTTCCAACCTGCGGGACATCGAGCCCGAGCAAGCGGGCTGAGCAGTCTGAGCAGTCTGCATGGCTGACATCTTGTGCAATTTGCATGGATGAAGACATCTTCAAGCAAACTCGTGACACCTTTCCTAGGATTCCAGCAGGACTCAGGCGCAAGTCCATGCGTAAAACCTCCGAGCGGGGGGCAACCAACAACTGGGGCACCCAGTGGCTCAATTGATTTGTGATGCGTACTGAACTGAGCTGCTAAGGTCCCTGCCATGTTGTCGGTCTTGTTTTGCAGCTGCGTCAACACCTGCAACTGCTCAGCAAAGGCAAATCAAAAGCATGGCGGCCACGCTTTCTTGTTGTAGGCCGCCGGCGGCCTAGCTCTCACCTTTTCTTTGCAGTCTAACTCTTGCAGATCTGTCCGGCAGGGGTGGACCATTTTCGAACATGCGAAAACCAGGAGGAAAGTTCCCCAGCCCGCAGCTCGAGGGGCCGCGTAAGACGGCTGTACCGCTTGCAAGCACATCTAGGCATTCCCCAAAAAAAAACACGGTCCCAACAGCTGCCCTGCCACCAACAGCTGTGACCTGGCTGATGCACTGCAAAGGTCTGCGGTGCACAGGCACCATGCCTCAGCGTCCACCAGCGTTGGGTCTATCCCATTACCAGAAACCGTGGATGATGATGGTGTGTAAAGGCCTTTCTCAAAAAGCATCATCATTGTCTGCCGACTGTTACAGGTATGAATAGGACAAACCCAACAGAATGCTTGCTGGGACCTAGCCGGACTGGCAGACTTGAATTCAAAGTCAAGGAACTTGCCGACTTGCTTTGTAAAACTGCAACCACCCTCCGGTTCTCCGCCCAACTTGCAGCTGAAGCAACGAATCAGCTCCCGGAGAATGCCCTGCGAGTACCTGGGAAGGATGGATCTATCAGGCGGCTGGCGAACATGTGTTCATTGGGAAGTGAGGGCAACTACTGGGTCACAAGGACCTATAGTGGTTTCAGAGTCGATGGCACTGGCAGCCCAAGATGTCCTTTAGATGGGGGTCCATATAAACATATATAAACCACCGACCTTGGGGATTGTGCCATCTACTCTGAAACCACTGTAATGGAACTGTTGACCTTTGGACTTGCACGGCCTTCTTTCATAGGACACAAATCAAGGCCGTTGACAGCTGTGCGGACTGCTGTGCCGTTAGCTGTTTTCACTGCGTGCTCCGGTACCTGTCCCAATGTCTGTTCTGGGCAGAACACCCAAGCTCCAGGCACATAGGTGTGGCGACCATAGCAGCTGAACTTGCAGAAGTTCTCAACAGCTTGCCTAGCGGCTGGAGAGTGGGGAGCCAGCAGTTCAGGACGCGAAGCGACAAGAGATTGCACAACATACGACAACTACTACTACCACAACTCTCATATGAGGGGGGTCTTGTGTGCTTGAGGGTCGCGGTCCATATGCTCTGCGAGATTCATGACACTTCTACAAGTCCTGAGATTTTTGCCTGGTCAAAGTATCATCCGTGCGGGCCACACTGAAAATGGCGAGCAAAAGGTGCTGCACATGGCGGCAGAACCTGCCGGATCGCAACAAGCCAGCTAACTTGCTCATGACACACACCAGTGTGTGACATGAGTGGTGCTAGTGACCTAGTGGGTCTGTGGACATGGTGGAGGCACATCATGCAGCCAGACACGATGACTGGATTGCACCAAATAAAACAGCGTCTGGCAAATCCGAAGAATCCATGGGTGGTTTTTCCTGGATAATCCGACGACCGTCTTTTGGTTCTTTCGTGTTCCTTCAAACCAATGTGTGAAATTCCCCACGTGGTGGTGTACAGAATATGCCATGTGATATTTACTGGATCTCTTTTTTGTTCTCTCTGCCTCTCCCCCTCTCTTTCTCTCTTTCTCGCGCTCTCCATCCAAAAAAGAGGTCAGAGGTTAGTAGAAGACGAGCTATTCATTTGATCAATCAAATGAGTTCTGACGGTCATTGTGGGAAGTATCACGGTCCTTGTTTTCATCGAGTTCGGACGACGCCTAAACGATGCTTCCCACAGGCTGGCTAGCAGCGAGTCAACTTCCCAGTGGCTGGAAGATGCGCCAAACACAACGAGCTCGTTTGCACCAAAGAGAACTTCCCAATTGGCTGCCCCAAATTGGGCAACACATGGGCTGCCTCATTCTCTTTTGGTGCTTCAAGCTTCAGGTGAAGGCATGCTACCCCAGGACTTCCTTCGATCGGACCTACTCCTCTGACCCACCACCTTCCTTCCCGCCAGTCTTGGACCCCACAGGCGGAAGGTTTCGGAGGTGGAGGGTTCACGCAAGAGCTCATCCTTGTAGGAAGGGTCCTCGCGGGCGGCCCTCACTATGTCACTATGTGCGCGGTTGTTCATGTTTGCGAGGCGTTTGTGTGAAGGTGCATGAGGATGTATGACGATTATGCGTCGCCTAAGAGCCTTGCTCTGAATGAGCCATATATTATATGGCCCAGAAGGCCAAGTAATTCAGCAGATCTATTCAGATAGTATCTGAATCTACTACCATGGCACACGCCGCAAACACATCCTCGGCCGAGATCCCCCCATACTTCTGCAACGTGTTTCTTCTAACATGCCGCATGCACAGCTTCAACTTCATCTATCATGCGTCACCATAGATCACCTCTCAATCACCTCCGAACGTGTCGACGTCCAAGTTAAGGGATTTGAGAATCTGTGCCGTGAACATCTGTGGGCACAGAGGAACCCCTACAGATTCGCCCATCACTCCACCATCACCGACAAGAGATGTGAGAAGCAAGATTTCCGACAATGAAATTAAATACATAACTTATTTGTTGTCGTTTTCTTAATGCTTTCGTCCCTGTACTAATTCTGGTCGCCCCCCCCTTCCAGAACACGAGACAACACGTCACCTCCGAGATCTGGTGGGTCACGCCCGAGAGAAACGTGGAGGATCGCCCTGACAGGATCGCCGAGATCGGTCGCCGTGGGACCGAGATCAGTCGGTTCGACACCCCGACAGCTTGACCTAGCAGCGGGGCGAAAAAACACATGGACACCCTTGACCTGTGGTGCTGGTGTGTGTGTGTGTGTGTGTGTGAAATAATGTATATTACATATATATATATATTATACAGTAACATGCACACTACACCCTCAAGAAATGATCAAAACATATTGATTCGGAACCTCTGCACTGGCGGCCAGCCTCGGCTTTCCCTCCTGAGCTCATACACCACCTGGCGCCACTCCTGGAAAATGGTCCGCTGCAGAATCCGCATCCAAGAACTTCTGCGGTAGAACAACACGCCCCAACAAATGAACCGAAATGATCACAAGATCATACAAAAATCTCCCACGCGCCATCCCAACTCGTTTTCTTCCCATTTGAAGAAGAACCACCATGCCCACTAGCTCAGCAACCCCACCGCTTGCTCCTCCACTTGGATAAACTCCTGTAGCCAGGCCGCCGTGGCTCTCCGCTTGTTCAGCTCCATCAACCGGTCCAACCGCTCTGGAGAGAACTCGGCGACCATGCGTCGGCCCAAGCATTGCCGTAACCTCAACCGATGCCATGCCGGGCCGCAGGAGGCTGCGCTGAGCCGTGCGAAACTCGCGTGCGCTGAGCCGGGCCCACGAAACAAGCGCGTTGCACGAAACCGGGCTTTCGGGTGCCCATCAGTTGGCACATGAAGGAAGGGGCCCGACCACATGCCCTTTCAGTGGTGAGGTCGTTCTTTTGGTCTCAGGGCTCAGCACAGGTAGAAGATTGGTCTAGTCTGATAAGTGCACCCACAAATGATGTGCGCTTCTTGAGCACCTTATTCAGTATGTTCATCCGTTCTGACTTCAAGTATGGCATCTCCATTGGTGGGAGTGAATCGGAACATGGAGTATTGGCGTCTAACCTGAAGATTGATATCAACAGAATTGAATCAAGTCACAACAACCACTCGAAGGGTGACAAGTCAAAAACCCAAGTCCTCTCAACAGAATGGTGCCCAATACCCGTCTCCTTTCTAGCTCACGACATCACTCAGGCCCCTTGCGTTTTACACTTGGCTTGTGCACTGTCCTGTGGTATGCCACGGGGTCAGAGCTTCAATGTCCAACTTGCCCTCCCCAATCAACCACAAGAGTGACAACATACTGTGACTGATACGAAAAAAGTCGGTCCATCCAAGAGGATCCAAGTGCTGCCAGTCGTGAATTTAGTTTTTTAATCAGAGAATCCCTTGATCGAACATAGATGTCTAACTATATACAGTATAACTCAGTATACATACAAACATCTTGGAATCACAGCTTCTCCAACGTCCGCACCTGCCCCTGCAACAACGTCAACCAGCCAGCGGCCAAGTGGCAAAGCCTTGGTCAGCCAGAGATGTCGAATCCGCCGAGATCCGCCGGGACAGCCAGCATGTGATGTGTTGAAAGACTGGTGCTGGATCTGCCAGAATCACCGCACTGATGGAATCATTACCGCACTGGGATATAACACAGTCACAGCAAGTCATCTGTGACTTTGGCCAAAGATCTTAGTGGTGTTGGGGGATCGATGAAAATAGCCCACATCGTGGTGGAAATGCCAGGTGCGCCTGGAAAAATATGATGGGAAACAACATGAACGACTACTATTGGGAAGAAACCTTACAATACATTGAAAATTAACATCTATAGTAAACTTGGATCAACCTTACCTCCAAAAGGATTCCGAAAAAGGTGTTCCTCCTCATCTGTCCTCTTTCCCTCCTCCTAACGGTGTTGCTTGGGGCACCTTGGAGTGCCTTGGTATTTCTCGGACAGCAACTCCACCACCTGGCGCCATCCCGCTGCGGATCGGAGGCTTCACGGGAAGGATGGCGTGCCGCCGATCGAAGCTGCGGGACGTGGGGGTGGACGTGGGGAACGTGTCTCAAGCTAAAGTGATCAAGAATCCGCGATGAAGTACCGACATGAAGACATGCAATCTCCGATGTCCAAAGCTCACACCTCAGCAGCAGCCTGTGACATGGTCAGCCGGCTGTAGGTTGTAGCGGCTTGGCAGAAATTATGCACCTGCAGAGCAGGACTCCCGTCACCTACTCAGCCACCAACACTCGGCATCACCTGTTCAAAGTTTTCAAGGGAAAATCTTTTGAGGAGCGTGCCCGGTGGTTCAGTTGGAGGACAAGGTGCAACCAGGCATGGATGTAAAAAGAACCGAGGCGCGGCTGCATCCCACCAAAATCAATGCACGTTTGACTCTTTTGATACCTGGACATGCTAGACAATTACTATATGCATCATGGCTTCGGGCTCACATGACGGAGAACACATGAACAAGATTGAACAAGCTCGTCACAACAATTGCTAGTCACTAGTCGCCCCTTGAACCACTGCAAGCTGGCCACGCGCTACGGCACGCGGTGCACGTGAGAAGCTCAGATCCATCCAATCAGGAGAAAAACAGGCTGGATCATTTGATCAACAGCGCGGTGTGACTCGTGGCAGTCCCGATGCGGTCTGATCGTGAAGTCGAAGAAAAGCTGTGAGAGATGCCAGGTGCCCAGGCCAAGGCAGAGATCCGTGCTGTCAGCAGGGAATCCGGCACCTGCGGGGCAGGAAGTAGTCCTTGCAGATTACACGTTTATATAGGTGGACCTAAGACCATCTAACATGACCTCATGACCTAACCTTTCTTGTTGGTCGGACTGAGGACTGAACAGAAACCGCACTCTCACCTTATGACTCAGCAAAGACACTCACCTCATGAGATAGTTGGCCTCCAAGCTCTTGCGATGTTGAAGAACGGCCTCCGGCTCAGCCTCAAACCAGGTTCCACCAACGGTTGTCTGAAACAGCTAGAGAACAAATTTCATGGACTTAGCGTAGATGCTCAAGGTTTGTCATAACCACATACACACGACGGCCACGACTATCTATAAATATATATATATATATATCGTTCGTCTAATAGTGTGAGGGAGCTTTTGTGTTGGAATGCAGGCATCTTGCGTACACCTGAAGGACCTGATGCACTCAACAGCTTGAGATGGAACTTAAAAGCTCGGGATGAGAAGTCACCCTACCTCGTAGATTCTCCCGCTGAGGACCCAGACCCAAGCATCATGTGAGGCCTGGGCCGAGATCAGGTCGATCAGGTCATTTGAAGAGTTGACATGGGAGGACCTGCCAGGAAAGGAACTGAAACAACCAAAGGTCCAGGTGAGGTGGTGCCAAGAATGCAGGACCAAGTACAGCAAAAATGGCCGTCTTGTAGCCTGTCGCCACCGTGGCATCTGTGCCATTCATCCTAGAAATCTCAAAAAATGATAGCCCAAGTCGAAAGAACCCACGCGCAGGATCTTAACGGCCGTCTCAAAAAGGAACCCAAGTAAAGAGAAAGAAGTGCTTTCTCTCGTTTTCGATCGCCACCTGGCGATCCCAAAACACCTCCGCCACCGCCCCACGAGTGCGAAGAAAAACGAAGGAAGGACCCGCCATCCACGGGCCGGGCCATCCACGTGCCGTTCCACGTGCCGTTCCAGGAAAAACAAGGCCATGACATCCCGGTGCGAACGGGTGTGGGTTGGGTGTGAATATGGAGAACAATCGGTGTTCTCTCGAGTTTCGGACCCACGGGAGGACGACGAGTTGGTGAGTCGAGTTCACCGGTGTCTCGAAAAGCTGAACGCGTGCGAAAGTCCTCTGCTCACATCATCCAGACTGCGCTAGACTTCTAAAGCGGATCACTCCGACACACGTTTATGTAACATGGAAACATAAGAACCAGTTCGTGTTCAGGAAAGCAGTCTTGCAAGGGGCCATGCCATCCAAAGTGTACATGTCTTCTGTGAAAGGGGAAACTCCTCCCGGTGCCTCCCTGTCACCAAGTGGCTGAAGTAGGTCGCTGTGCTGGTGGCGTGTCAGGTGCCTGGCATTGTCAGGGTCCCGTCAGTTAGAAAGGTCTAAGCCACGCAGACCCAGCATCAAGATCCAAGATCCATCAATCGTTTTTTGTTCACAAAAAGGCTGGACAACCAATTGGCTGGTCGTGATTCCTACCTGATCAGGCACACATGGTGTGGCTTCGAATTGTTTAGAAGTGTGGACAATCGACACAGGGAGAAGAACATTGCGAGCATGAAACTGCGAATTCACGTGATCCAGGCTGCACCTTCAGTGGAGCTCTTTGTGCCAAAGGGCTCTCCTGATACACCTGGCGCAAAACCAAAGAGGATTGAACTGTTCAGGTCAAGTGCCTTTGTTGGTGACAGCGCTGACAAGTCTGCGGTTTCCGTTTCAAAGCCACTGGCGCTGCCTTGTGGAGATACACTTTCGGGTACACCAAAGGAAGGTACAAACCTTGATGCTCAAGATCGACATCATCCATGGCTTTTGTTTGAAGAAAGTCGCTCTGCACACCCTAATTCAAACACTTTATATTGGTCAAGCTGCGTGGTTGCATACAACTCGAAAGCTGTCAACATCAAGCCAAAGGAATCGAGTCCCACTCGCCACTGGCACAAGGAATTTGATTGTGAGAAAACCCTGGCACTCCTCTGTAAATCTACTACAGGATGGATCAACACAATGGTCATTACAGCTTCCAAGGATCGGGACTTGAGATATCCTTCCACCAGGAGTAGTGGCCATTCTCGTAGTTGCCAGCCATCAGGGCCTGGTCATGGTGGAATGGAAGGTGACAGGAAGTCGCTAGCGGCCGCAAGCGGTTAGAATTTTTGCTTGCAGATGGAATGATTTTCAAAAGTACAGCAGTGTCCCGGGCTGTGCGCAGTTAGAATTCAATTCGAGTTTCCCGGCCATGCACTTGGCATATGGGAAAACAATACTTACAGTTCTGGCCGTGACTATATTGACATTCAGCACCAGTGACAGCGCGAGACAGCAAAGAACCAATCCAATGCCAAGCATATGTCGGGTGCTGTACAAATCTGAGCCCTTGCATTTAGCAAACTCTGCATTTTGTGAAAAAATGTTATAACATGTTATATCCACCTTGCTTGAGTTCCATTCAAATTACAACTCTTACATCCTCTTTCTAACCACATGCTGAGTGGAGCTGTTGCATCGGGAAGCAGCTAGACAGCTCGACTATGAGTAATTCTGGAGATCTGCATGGCTCACATGACATGGAGTTGTTTCTCTAAGAGCTGGCAAAGTACTGTAAACAAAGCATTAGGACCCAAATAAGACCAACACTTCTTGACCAACACTTCTTGCTTCTGGTTGGTTCATTTGGCCGCTTCTCCTCCGGCGCAGCTCCACGGCGACTCTCGCGCTCCGCTGCGACTCTCGCGCACCTTGCCAACGAAGGTGAGCTCTTCTCGTGCTGATGCGAAGCTGGTAAACCTGCGGTCCAATGAGTCACATCACTTCGAATGCATGAAAAAGTTATTTAAAAAGAGGTCCACAATCATCTCATCCACAATCCACAAGAACCTTGCAGGGTGCCTAGGAAAACAGGCGTCCCCCCAAAACGAAGCATCAAGAAATCCATTGACTTCATCACGGATCGTGGGGGGCCGCCATCCACTGCGTCTCATGGGCCGAGTGAATGCTATACGGGCCGTGCAGTGGGTGTTTCGAGTCTTCAAAAGCTTATTGAGGAGGTATATATATACCCTAAGGATCAAGGACCCTCAAAGGTGAAGGTTTTGAGGGTCCAAACCCCTGCTATGCAGGGTCAAAGCCCTCCATAGGAGGGTCCAATGATCCTTAGACTTAGGGTGTATATATTTCTGCATCTCAATGGTGGTATGCCAAGTATTAGGCCAAGTATGCCAAGTGGCAGCTCTGCCAGCAGCTTGGCCACCTTGAAATGGACTAACGGATCCTGAAGCAAAGCTGCTTGCGGGCGGCGTACGCTTTAACCTGTGTAAGTATGACCACTAAGGCTATGTATCTAAGGCTAAGGTTTTGCTTTGCTGGGCATAGCATAGTTCAACTGAAGATGGGAGATTTGTTCTCCACCACACGACAAAAATATAGAAATCAAACAAACAAGCAAACAATGGGATACCCAGGCTCAGCGCCTTCAATAGACATTAACCCACCATTACGCACGCACCTTCCTGTGGCTTGAGACCGGCTACATCTTCAGACTTCACTCGTCATCGTGTGGGAAGTTCAGGAACCAATGATTTGAGAGCTATTGGTGTTGTTTCATGAATCTGACCGGTGGTGATCGATTCTGGTCGCCAAGAATATAACCCACATCTACAAAACAATATCTCACAGGAAGCGTCCCACAAGGCAAGGGAACACAACTCTCACGAACCACATTGCCAACTGGCCGCAAGAAGCTGCAATGTGGGAATCTCTGGCTCGGGGACCAAAATATCGTCCAATCTGTGTGGCATACTGACCAAAATATGACCCACGGTCAAGCTTATTTACATGGCCTCTCTTCTCGCCTCGCGATTTAGCGAGCCCCCTATCGTTTTAAAGTGTTTGCATGTTGTTCCTACAATGCCACCGCAAGAGAGCTCTTGGACTAGTCTTCGGGCCTTATAGAGGAGCGGTTTCCCGAGGCACCACCATGCAATTCTATAGGTTATCGTTCTGTTGTCGTACACACGGCCACAATTCAAGAAGCATAGAAAGTCACAAACATAGGTGTTGATTGTGAGTGTCCTACTGCTCTACAGTTTCTGTTCCCCCTCAGCACTTCCACCAAATCAGCGGGACATCCAAAAGGAGCTGCTCTTACAATAATTTAGAGCGGTGCTTCTTTTTTGTGGTGTGGGGCTTATACACTGGTTCTGTACCTACGCCGTGCCTACGCCTGGGCTCCCTTTACAGTATATAAACCTAATCATTTGCAAAAAGAACGTGGCGCATATGTCATCTACATTCATTTACCATATGTCACTTTCTCTGGTTCTAGTTCCAACCCCCCGTGGGGCGCCACCCAAACATGGACCCAAACGGCACTGCCTAGGGCACGGCCTTTTTGGGGCCTGGGGTGGCTCCGCTATGTGAGAGCCTCACATGGTTACAAAGGTGATTTCCGCATCCCGCTACGAGGTCCGGCCTCGGATCATCAGCGGAATCTCTCCCGATCCGATGGCTCGCAGGCCCGGCCTGCTCCGCGAGCATGGTCAAATACCTGCCGCCAAACCGAACCGCTGATGAACCGGATTTCGAAGATCGCCATGGCATCAGCGGTTCCGCAGTCCCAGCCCCGGCCAAACAAACGTCAAGAAGGAAACGACGCAAACAAACACACTGTGACCACTGAATCACTTAATCAATCTCAATCATACTTAATCCATTCTTCAGGTCCAAGCGGCTCAAGGCAAGGCTTCCGCAGGTTGAAATCGAAGCGGAATCCCAACTGCTTGGCTGAGTTGATCATCCAATCCTTAGGCCCAGTCTGTCTGGGGTTCGTTCCATTCGCGGCCCCTTGGAGCGATGACATTCCCGAAAAATCCCCCCGAAACGCCGGCGCTGAAGTGACTAGATGAACGTAGGAGGACGAAAAAGAAGGGTCAAATGCCATCCACTTGCCACTGACTCACCACTCTGTCTCAACCTGCGAGCCGGCGTCGTCATATGCATGACACCTATTTTAAGAGACAACTCTGCTATGGGAACCCTGCTGTGGGCAACCATGTTTGCTATCGGCTATCTGCTTAGTGCTATGCTATAAAGAATGTCCTCGGAAATCCGTCGAACTCTGGTTTTGCAGGGGTACTTTCTCAAGTGATGTGAGAAGAGCGCACGAATTGTGGCCTAATCAGTCAGGAATCCCATTGGTTGGTTGCTTTGCCTGTGGCCCTGTCCACGGATTCTACTCATGACCAAGGAAAACGCACCGAGTCCACACGCTGGACTACAGCATGGTGCAGCTATGCTGAAAGCTAAATCAAAGCCTCGCACATCTGAAACCACACCCAGAAACACCTGAACAATAGCAACAAAAGGGAAGACACATCAAAGTATGATTCTCTCGTACAGCTACCTCAGGAGGGCATTCATTGTGAGAATCTTTTGAGGAGTGTTATTGCCTGATGAATATAGATAGAACTCATGATGAACTTAGTCTTCCAGGAGCACCTGTTCCACATCGTGTGGTATTTTGTCGCTTGAATCGCGGAATCGTGTGGAGTCCAATTGTGCGGAATAGTGCGGTGAGTTTGAAGTTCACATCACAAAGCTTTCGATTCAGTTCGCAAGAGCTGCTTAATACGTGGTGTGTTCCAACGTCCAATTACTGTAGTCACGGACAAAGGGGTTGCCAGCTCTGTAGGTCTTGGACAGCTCTGCCTATGCAAGCCTTCTAAAGCTTTCCCGTATGCGGGTAAAGCTTACCTTGTGGAATCCACGTGCATTGTCTACGCTGCATGCGAAAATACATGATAGTTATTTGCTTCTTTGTGGGTGGTGTATATAAAATACCTATCACTGATCACGAACATTCACTGACAATGAAAGGACCCCCCAACAGAATGCTAAACAAACAACGGGTTCCTCTCTTCCTCTCCGAGCGACAACAAGGAGCTGGTCAATCCAGTCCACAGACTTCTCCATATCGGATCGATACCTGCAAAAGGTGGGTTACTAGCGGCGTTACTACAGCCAATTCGGTTGGTTGAAGGTTGGTAGGTTGAAGGATTTCCATCTATGCACAGGCCGCAAAACTGCACACCAGTCCGTGATCTTGTGTCTGCACAGTGTGCTTCCTACGACCGCCTATATACGTATCAATGACTCCAAGCCAACTCCAGGGTCTGTCAGCGACTGACGTTGAGGCCCTTGTCCAAGGAAGAAAGTCATCCATGGTGCATGGCATTGCCTCTGCAACACTCACTACCCACCAAACCAGCCTCTAGCGGTAGCGGAGAGCAAGCAGGGTGACATGGGGGAGAAGCAAGGTTGATATGGGACCCAATAGAGGACCTTCTGAAAGTTCATTCACTAGCTAGCCGACTACCCTTTGCATGTGAGCATTTTGAACATTGACGATCTGTTCAAGCCAAACGACCTTGACAAACGTGACATAACGTGACAAACATGTCCGCTGGTCAATCCTGAGCCGGCCTGTTTTTCCTCCATTGGGCAGCCTCAGAGCGAGCAAGCTTGCTTCAGGCCCCTACAGTACTACGACGCAGGGACGGGTCCACGCCGAATGCTCCGCGCCGAATGCTCAGCTACAGGTTCCTTCGGATTCGTTCTGGGACACCGACCAACTGCAGACACAACTCCAAATGCTTGATGCCTTTGGCTGCCATGGCCTTGGATCGGAAGATTGCTTCGTCCGCCACGGTGACCGACGGACGGCGCCAAAACGGTGCCCCGCGCCTTGCTGGCCAAGAGGGCCACCAAAAGTCGCAGTGTGCTGAGAGCCTCAGCGCTGAAAACACCAATCATTGGCTCATGGCATCCCGCTGCAAGCGGCCGAAGCTGAAAGCGAAAGCGAAGCCACCAGCTACAGCAGCTACGTACTCCGGTAGCTGAGGCCTTTTAAGCCCCTGAAGCCAGATATTTGACTTCTAAGGAGCCAGAAATGAGTTTAGATACCGTTTAGATCACCATCTTGAAGTGATTGTCGATGATTCGTTAACGACATGTTTGACGAATAGAAGCCATGAGCCTCGTCTCCATCTCTCCTCTTAATCTAGCCACGAACCAGTTCAAAGCAGGAACCCCCTCAGTGCTAGGCATCTTGTTCAGCACCTCGGCTGGGAATCTCAAAGCAAGTTTGCCGCGATTCTTGGTTTAAAAAATCCAAACTGTTGCTGTACTGTACCCTTGGCGTGCACAACATGTACTTACTGATGTTCGGCAAGATGTGGCAAGCCAACTCGATGTCGAATCTAAGAACATCAGCGAAATAGGAATCCCAAATTATTTCTGGCTGATGTATGCTCAGCTTCACACCATTTCTCAACTCTTGCATGGAAGCAGTAAAGTCTGCCTCTTTCATGTCCTTCGTCGCCCGCCAGTAGGCTGAAGTGCCGGGTAATGTGTGCGTGTGTGGCACTTGTTCGGTGTTCAGTTACGTTGGCAGGTGCTGAACTCGTATGTGAGCAGTTTAGCTCAACCGCTTCAACACAATAAATAAAACAGCTTAACAAACGGCCTAGCTTAGCTCTGTTTCAACAATGTGACGCATGATGAAGCATACAGCTGTTTAGATCTTGGCAAAAGCGCCGCTCAAACTGCTAAGCAGTGCAACACATTGCAACACAACCTAGTGATGCTGCAAGGCCTCTGCGCCAAAGCATCGCAAGGCTGCAGCCAGGTGATCTAAACCTCTGCATGTCTGGTTTTTTGTCTTCTTTTTGTTGGGGGCGGCGTGAAACAACAAGGACACAAAGACATCTCACATGGTAAAACAAGATGTGCTGGTAAAACTATGTCCAACTGGACAACCTGCCCTGGTGCTTCCAGCTTTCGCGGCGTACCACCCGACGTGTGGGTTCGTGTGGGTTCTGTCTTCGTGTGGGTTCTGTCGGCCGGAACATCGGGCGAGACGTGCCACACGGAAAGTGGGAAAAAAGAAAAACACGCGGAGTTTAGGACAGCGGAAAGCCTTGAAGGTCTAATTACCAAGCCCCCAAACACTCCATGGGACTGGCATATTGACCTGGGGTGGTTGTTTCAGGGGTCAATGTGGGCATATATTCCAGTCCCATGGAGTGTCTGGGGAGCTATAATTTAGAACCTTTCAACGTCTTCTTTCCCCTTTGTTCTTTGGCCTCCCGGACGGACGACACACCCTCGGCCGCGGCCGGTGCGGTCTTAGGGGCGAAGGCCCAGCGCCGCACCAAACTCCGCGCCGGTCCGTGGCCTCGATGCCGAGGCGGAGAGGAGGAGCAAAAGTGCCTGTGTTTGATAAGTCTGCGAATGGGTGGTGGTCAAGCACCACTGATAAGTCTTTTTTTATAAGTCAGTGGTCTGCGTTTGATCAGTTTTCGTTGTTTCTTCATTTCAAGTCTGGAGATGCTTTGCCACGTTCGCAGCCAGATGTTCGATTCGACCAGGGCCATTCACCAAGGTTGCTCTGTTTTTGGCAGATCTGGGTTGGTCTTTGAAATATCTCCCATTCTTTTGTGACCACTTTGGCATTGAACACAGCTTTTGTTCTATTGACCAGCGGACACTGGAGTTGCTCCTTCAGGACGCCTGGCTACAGTTCGTGAGCACTCAGGTGAATCACAAGACCATGTCTGGCCTTCACGGCATCAATAAACACTTGACTTGCACCATCCACAAACAGCTGACCATGCAAGAACAGTTGCGACTATCAGCTTTGCAGCGTGGGTCTTTTCTGACAACGGTGCACCAAAGCAAGTTGAAGCCAGCAAAAGAGAGCTTTGCGAACACTGTCAACAGCCAAACTCTCGTAAACGCTGGCTATGCCGCCCACAATACCAGGATTGAGCAATAAGCTTCAGCTTGATTTGCCGGCCCTTCTGACTCTCCCAGAGTGCGCCATACATCATTTGCTTTTTCCTCAGACTGACTTGGAAAGGCAGTTTCGTATGAGCTTAGCTGTTCTGGACGACACAACCTGTGAGTTTTTCTCAAGTAGAACGACCTCGGAGACCCAAATGTTTGTCGATGGCTCCAGTGTAGCTTTGAACACTTGATGATTCATGATAATGCCTCTACTGGGGATGTGCTTTCCACACGTGTAGCCCCTGAATGGAGACAAACGGCTGACAGAGCCGAAGTCCACTCCATACTTTCCAATTGTGGCCTGCAAGTTTGGTCGGACTGCCAGCATGTGGCAGAGCAGCTGCAACGTATGCTCACTGTTTGGACTTCAAACATCCCGGAGAACAATGAGGACCTCTCGACACGAATCTCATGCTTGTTAGATGACCGCTGCCATTTGATCACTGAGGCTAGATGGATCCCCAGTCACCTTTCTGCGTCCCACATGGAGGACCCGATAGGACCGTTGGGTATGTCATTGGAATGCTCAAGCTGATCTTTTGGCTACAAAGCACAATAGCCACTGCTGTGACCTCGCTGCGCTGCTAGCACGCCGGTTGACACGTGAGATGGCTGAGAGTGAGCGCCTAGCTTTGCAGCTACGTGCCTTTTACATGCGTGTCGCTGATAGCACCATGCAAGCACGAGCAAGTGTAGACACAGTCCTGCAAGTAGTGGAGGCTCCCGAGGTCCTTACCGAAGGTTTTTCTGAATTTCTACCGGGATGGAAAGCTCAGATTGCTAAGCACCTCTCTGATGCTCACCACAGCTTCATTGGCCAGGTTGTAGACCAGTTGCAGACTTGGGATCTTGATCCTCAGCATTCCTTGGGTTGGTACACATTGAGGTTGCAGTTGATTTGATGTGTTTGGTTGGTTTTCTCTTTCCGGTTGACTTAAAATACAACGGAGCTGAGGTCGCTTACTTCATTTAGTGACCCCCTGAAGCGAATCCGGCCGATCGCTGCCAGGATCTCGATCGGTCACGGTCGTCCTTGCTTGAATCTGAAACGACCATCCCTGAGGATTCTCATGAGCAGGGGAGGGTATTTAGTAAAAATTTCGACTCGGAAGTGGGCATACAGCTTCGCGGCCGAAGGCCTTGTGAAGGCCTCTGCAACGAAGGCCTTTTAGGTCCTGCCAGGATCCTCGACCCGTTTGAGCACTTTCGCCGGACAGCGTCACCGCAGCTCTGCTCGTGCTGAGCTCGGTGGCATCATCAGCAGTTTTCGTTTTTCATGTCAAGTCTGCTATGGCTATGGGTGCTGTGGTCTGCGTTTTATGAGTTTCCGTTGTTGTTCATTTCAAGTCTGCTAACGGTGCTATGGTCTGCGTTTTATAAGCTTTCGTTGTTGTTCAGTTCAAGTCTGCTAGCGGTGCTATGGTCTGCGTTTTGAACGTTTTCGTTGTTTTTCATTTCAAATCTGCTATGGGTGCTATGGTCTGCGTTTTATCAGTTTTCGTTTTTCATTTCAAGTCTGCTAT